TTCTCTCCCTAACGCCAAGTCTATGACGTTCCAACGCTGTTTATGGCTGACGTTCAGTAAAAGGGATTTTTTCTACTTCGGCATTTTTCCAATTGCTCAATACCTTAAGATACGAATAGGTAATATTTACTTTACTCAGAGTGTTACTATCGTTATTTACACATCTCTTCACATGCGAACAGGATGCTAGCGTCTTACTTTGATTTAACTTTTCTAGCTTGTTCCTGTATGGACTGAATGAACTTGCCTTTATAATTGAGTCTTTGAACGAAATATCCTAAATTAATTTATAAGAGCTATCTTCATGCACTATTAGGAAAAAGGCTCAGCCTGACATTTAAGACTTAGCTTTTAACTAAGGCCTTTATTTAAAAATAGGAATCTGGCCTAAACGGCGAATAAAATTAAAGAAAAACGTGGTCTTTAGGCTTCAGGCAAGTAATATTTAAATTATTACCATAGGTTGGAGAGAAAGCTTGATGGTTCCGATAAATTTGACTATAAATTTCATCTAACTGGGCAATCTAAACCCCATATTTGCTTATTTAGCTCCATAGGTGGATTCTGACAAATGACTTGTTCTTGCAGAAGCGGTACGCCTCTTTAGTTGTCCGTTGTGATTGAATTTAATTAAAAGATTGACTTCTCTTAACTCACGATGCAAGCAAATCAAAGAAGGTAAATGAATTTATTACCGTATTAGATAATTCTAATGTTATAGTTGTTTGGTGCAGGCAATACCAATATTTATTAGTTTACTGTTTAAAATAATTTGTATTGGTAGTTCCAAGATCAGTCAACTGTTATCATTGGTATGGTTTAATTTTCTGTTCACCTTACGGACAAGCTCATTTTAAAACTGTTTTTTTCTTAATGCATATGCAAACTTACTCATTTATAATCTAATTAATGACGTCGACATGAGTACTCCTTAAAGTCATATATTATCCCATTGTCCCACTATTTTCCCTTATCTATCCTTCCTCTCCAGGTAGATAAGGTAATGACATCTTCTCTCAGCCTTGATATGAATGCACTAGCAACTGGGATGGGTGACTCTTTGGATGGAGGTGAAGCATCATCTCTGATGCTTCCTCTACCGTTGGACTCTATCTTGGTCAGACACCCAGCCTCTCACACTTCAAAACCTCCTTCTTGCAGTGAAGCCGCAGAGAAAGAGGAAAAAGAGGATACTTTCCTACCTTCTGGTAGACCAAGTGTCACAAACCCTGAAGAAAGGGATAAACTTGGGAGTAGTCTCACCGGTAGTGACGGTGGCAGTATCAGCGATGATAAAGTCAGTGACACTTCCAGCCTATCTGATATTCCTACAGCAGTACATTTGGACATGCTTACAACTGCATCGGTTACCGAGACGACGATTGTTGGTACTCTTGAGCCCCGGATGATGAAGACTTCCGGTTATGGCCTGACTAAAAGCAGTGACAATTTAGTTACAAATGCTAAAACCAGCATTTATACGGCATTCGAGAGAGAGTTTGGAAGAAAGCGACTGCCTTTGGAAAATCGTGGGGAAGATGAGGCGACAATAATTACAATCAGAGAGACTAGCGGATTGTTGACTGGGCACTGCGAAATTAAATCCGACTCTGAGTTGTATGCCCCACGGGGAGGGTCAGGAGTGGAAGTAGACAGGAGCAATGAAGAAACTATCAACGACGGCAGCAACAGCAGCCGACCCACAAAGTCCGAATTATCTGGTGAATATGACATAGCCAGATTGATAGATTCGGGTGAGGAAGTAATTCTCTTACTAACGTTAAAACTTCGTAAAAGAGACACAGGACACCTATTTCCACCCGTTTTCATTTTTATCAATACATAATTGTGCTTCTGAGAAGAAACAATTATTAAATAAGCTTTAGAATAAATATAGATTTTGATATCTTTTGTCAATCTAGTTTCAACTTTTTACTTTGTAATGGTTAATAGAAGATGCCTTTGCAAAAATGTGAGGACGAGTAAGAGTATGCTTTGTGCAAATCTTATTTTTATGGGAAACGTCGAACTATCATAAATAGATGAAATACCATTGAATTCCGTTAGATGCCTTTTTAAAGACTTTGTATCTGAAATATCTTTTAAGTATATAACTCCTATATTGGGTAGTAGACGTATGTTTTTAGCGTATATACTATTTGTAGGTGTTCTAGGGACAACATTTATTGATTTTGGCTGGACAAAAGTAGATATTCTTGTATTCAAAACTATTTTCCAATTATAGGAATAGGGTGCTTTAAATGATTGAATGGATTTTTTTCAGCAATATGTGATAACAAAAATAAGCTCTTTAAATTATCTATACTAAGCTATCTGTCAC